CAGCTTGCATTCCCACCAACAGTGTAGGAGGGTTCCCCTTTCTCCACATCCCTGCCAACATCTGTCATTTCCTGACATTAATTTTAGCCATTCTGACTGGTGTGAGGTGGTATCTCATTGAGGTTTTGATTTGGATTTCCCTGATGCCGAATGATGTTGAGCATTTTTTCATGTGTCTCTTGACCATTGTATGTCTTCTTTGGAGAAATGTTTATTCATGTCTTCTGCCCAAGGAGAGGGAGTCCATATATATATATATTGGAGAATCAGATGAAATGTGAATCATATTAGCAAACATTTGTAGACACTGTCTTAAGTGGTCTGTATGGTACTGTTCCACTTATGCCTCAATTAATCTTTGCAACAGCCCCATGGGGTATACACCCTGGGAGGTGTATCTGCTGATTTAATGAATTAATTAATTTCTTTTTTTCTTGATGAGCCTGGCTACAGGTTTAATACTTGTTTATCTTTTCAAAGAACCCAGTCTTGTTTCATTAACTTTTTCCTATTGCTTTTTTTTTTTTGGTCTCTGTTTAATTTATTTCTGCTCTGATCTTTATTATTTCCTTCCTTCTACTAACTTTGGGCTTTGTTCTTCTTATTTTTTTTTTTTTCTATTCCTTTAGGTGTAAGGTTTTATTGTTTGAGATTTTTCTTGTCTCTTGAGGTAGTTCTAAGAAAGAAACTTCTTTCTTAGAACTGCTTTTACTATGTCGCAAAGATTTTAGGTCAGAGGTTCCTGCCTGGCTCAGTTGGTAGAGCATGTGATTCTTGATCTCAGGGTCATGAGTTCAAGCCTCATGTTGGGTTCAGAGATTATTTAAAGCCACTATTTCCTTATTGATTTTCAGTCTGGATGATCTACCCATTGATGTAAGTGGAGTATTAAAGTGCCCAACTATGGGGCGGCTGGGTGACTCAGATGGTTAAGCGTCTGCCTTTGGCTCAGCTTATGATCCCAGGGTCCTGGGATCGAGCCCCACATTGGGCTCCCTGCTCAGCGGGGGGCCTGCTTCTTCCCCTCCCTCTGTTTCTCCGCCTGCTCATGTTCTCTCTCTTTCTTTGTATCTCCATGTCTCGAATGAATAAATAAAATTTTCTTAAAAAAAATAAAGTGCCCAACTATTATTGTATTACTGTCAATTTCTCCCTTTATGTCTGTTAAAATTTGCCTTATATATTTAGATGCTCCTATGTTGGGTACATAGATATTTGCAATTGTTATATCCTCTTGTTGGATTGATCCCTTTATCGTTATGTAATGACAGTCTTTGTTTCGAAGTTTATTTTGTCTCATATAAGTATCACTACCCTAGCTTTTTGTTTGCTTGTTTGTTTACATTTGCTTGAATACCTTTGTCCATCCCCTCACTTTCAATCTGTGTATGTGTTTAGGTCTGAAGTAAGTCTCTTGTAGGCAGCATATAGATGGATCTTTTATTTAATCCATTCAACTACCTTATGTCTTTTGATTGGAGCATTTAGATTTAAAGTAATTATTGATAGATATGACCTATTGATTTTCAAAGCCAGACCATATGGGGGCTTGCCTTCCTGGTGCAGGTCCCCAGGTGAGTGAGAGCTTGAACTCCTTGCTGCTCAGGGAGAACCTTTGCACTTGTAACATTCCAGCTTGTTGTTGCTGCACTGGGGGTTTTGGTTCCTGACCTGACCATCTCTTTGCTTCTCCTACCCTTCTTGATGTGGCTTTATCTCTATCTTTAGCTGTGGAAGAGATGCTCTGCTAGTCTTTATGTCACTCTCAGAGAGAGTTGCTCTATATGTAGTTGCGGCCTTGGTGTGTTCAAGGGAGGAGGTGAGCTCAGGATGTCCCTACCCCACCATCTTCCCCTTGTGTCTCCCAGTTACATCTCCCATATTTCTTGTGCATGGATTTCCCTGTCTATGTGGCTTCCAAGAGAGTGTTCATGCTTATACAAGATGGTGCCTCCCCCTGGACACAGATCCAAGGGTGGGCATATAACTCAAACTGGACTAATTGGTACATTTCCAAAGTATTTACAATTAGGTCCAAAAGAGAGTCAGTTGATCTCTCTTCGGTGGTTTGATCATTAACAATGGTAAAATTTGGACTTGTTGGTGGCCATATTTCCTGTCCTGTGGGCTAAGAAGGCAGAGAAAGTCATTTTGCAATGAAAAAGAAGAAAGGAGTAGACCCAAAGAGCTTCAGAGCCTGGGGTGTCTTGATAGTGTGAAGTCTCCGTTTCAGTTCATTCCAGAAGCTCTGCTGTGTTCTTGTTCTTGAGTTCCAAGACATATCCATGCATCCTTTTCATAAACTCATCTTTTCTGTTTAAGTTAGCCTGAGTGTGCTCCTCTTTGCAATTCAAAAAATCCTGTCTCAGTCAGCACATTGTCACCCCCATTTCCAAAGTCCACTTGTCTTATTAACCTCATTATTTCTCTAAACTTCCTTCTTTCCTTTTGTCTCCTCTTTCCATCATCCATTTACCTCCAGAAAATGGAAACATGTACTAGCTTCACCACACACACACACACACACACACACACACACACACACACATATATTTTCTGGCATTAGACTCAATGAAAAATAAGAAGGGAGACAAGAAGACAAGAATTTCCTTACTTTGACAAGTGTTTTCACTGGAAATCTGGAATTGAGTACCCCCAGAGAGGAGTTGGTATCCAGGATTACAGCGACAGTGGAAACCTCCATCAACATTCTGACATGCAGCATTTGCTCCACAATATATACTAATGGGTGGTTTACATTCATCAATATCTGGAACACAAAAGAGCAATTTGGCCATTAATTTGACAGAGATCTATGGAACATGTAATATGTTCCAGAGGCTATACCCTCTCCACCCAATCTGTCCTGACTTTCCAGGACAACTCAGTTAAGGTAGTGGGTTGTCTTTGTTCTTCCCTTTCCTCTTTGACTTTGGTTGGATTCTCTCAGAAGCAGACACTGAGACAGGAATTCATGTTCAAGTACTTTATGTGGGAGGTGACCCCAGAAAACACTGGAAGGGAAGTGGTGAAATGAGACAGGGAAAGCCAGACAGAAAGTAAAGAGGGAAGTTTCCATTGTGGGCAATTGGGACTCGATTCCTCTGGGACCCTCTGGGAGGCAGTGTAGAGCACATGCTGCAGAGTGACTCCCTGAGGGGTGAGGGGGCTGGGGTATTTATCTGCCAAATCTTTTTTTCTTTTAAGTTTTTATTTAAATTGTAGTTGGTTAACACATAGTGTAATATTGGTTTTGGGAATAGTATTTAGTGATTCATCAGTTACATACAACACCCAGTGCTCATTACAACAAATGTCCTCCTCAATCCCCATCACCCATCTAGCCCATCCCCCACCCACCTCTCCTCCAGCAACCCTCAATTTGTTCTCTGTAGTTAAGAGTCTCTTATGGTGTGCCTCCCTCTCTCTTTTTTCCCCCCTTCCCCTATGCTCCTCTGTTTTGTTTCTTAAATTCCACATGGGTGAAATCATATGGTATTTGTCTTTCTCTGACTGACTTATTTTGCTTAGCATAATACATTCTAGCTCCATCCATGTCATTGCAAATGGCAAGATTTCAT